TGTACCAGACGGGGGTATACATCCCTGCCGACAACTGTCTCATTTATATTCCAGGCATGTTCATCATATGCTTCCTACAGCCGCCCATACAGTCACGTCCACTCTTTCGTTCCAGAGACAAAATCATGGATTAGACATACTCATGCAGCATAGCATGCACTACCCCACCTAGCACTTTCGTCCCATACTTGTAGAACACATAACACAGCTTTTCACCTGGCTTAAAGAATCTCATTGGCACACGACATAGCTCAACCTGTGTCATAACATTTCTCCTAGGTTTTGCTTCTTTTTGCCACCTTAAACTTAAACTATCTCACATACCATTAATTATATATTTTACAGGCATTCAACAACACAGGATAACCTATGGCCAAAACTACCATAACTTCATGCTATCATACCAGACAAGAATATACTCAGAGGATTTCAGGAATCCATTCCCCCACGTTCCTCTCAGAGATTACCAATAGCCATCCAACTTTTCATCATTATCGGACCTATTAGATCTACAACCATTCAATTACACTACCAAGTCGGCCATTACCAGCTATGCACATTGCCTTTTATGCCTTTCTCAGGCCAGAGAATCCACTACCATCACCACCACTCAGACAGATCATTGTCTTCAACGATCCCACGTACGTAAACACATATATCATTACCTATTGGCTCCACCACATTCCGAAACGAGTCAACACGCACCAACAGTAGAGATAACATACTATCCTACCCACAACAAATGGTGTCCACTTTCGGTCCTAGATTCCTACCTTCAAAATCCTTTCAGGAATTAAATACTGTAATGCATTTAAGGAAATGTCTGGTTAATTTGTATATATTTGTTGACTGTATTAAATCTTTGATTATTCATTTTGCCCTCTTTATTTACAGGCCTACCGTATCGTCGGTATCGGCACACCACAACCGACTTGCTCCCTTTACACTATCCTAAGCTTATGCTGGATCCTTACTCCATATACGGCTATTTTGCCCTTACACAAGTATTAAGGCAGTTTTGCCTGTATTTGTGGGAGGGCTTAAATTAATTCACTCCCCTATATAAGGGACACCCCTTACCTGACTCATATCGCTTGAGGTCAGCATCAGAATGACCCTCCCACCCACTCCTCATTTCAACACTTTCTCTTTTCTTTCCATTTACTTTACTTTCTTACTCCTTGGTGGGCCCTCTTTATTTACAGGCCTACCGTATCGTCGGTATCGGCACACCACAACCGACTTGCTCCCTTTATACTATCCTACGCTTATGCTGGATCCTTACTCCATATACGGCTATTTGCCCCTTACACAAATATATATATATATATATATATATATTTTTTTTTTTATTTATTTTTTTTTACACCCTACTCTTAGGTTTGCCACCTGACTGGTATTTTACTGGCACAGCCGGTATTTAAAGCTGCCTGGTCGTGCCGGTATTGCAGTAATACCGGTGTTCTATCAAATTTCCCTACCCCGTTAGAAAAACCTACCCGCGTCTCTTCCGGTGACGAAGCTGCACCGGAAGTGACGTTGGGACGGGGGGGTGCGCCGCCGCGCAGGCGCACACAACCGAGGTAGGGATTTTTCACTTTGAGGAGAGAACCTAAAGGCATAGTGCGCACGCGCGGCACAGTACTCCCCTCGGAGGTACAGCGCGCGTGTGCACTTGGGGACATGGAGCGCTTCACACACCGCGCATGCGCAGTATAGGGGTAGGGAAATCTGATGGCCATTAAGCCCTGTGAAATCTCCCTACCCCTATACTGCGCATGCGCGGACTCTGATCGTCTGAGTAAAGCCTTTTCTGGGAACAGGTCAGTCTCTCCTTGCTCCCAATACTCTCAGCCATCCGAGGGGAGGGGGTACTATATTAGGGGGGTTTCAGTGCATTATATTGGGGAGTGGGGGGGTTTTAGTACATTATTATATTGGGGTCTGCGCTGTATGGGGGGGGTCTGCGCCAGCAGGGGGGTCTGGCGCCTGTATGGGGGTCTGCTTGTATGGGGGGCTGCTGCTTGTATAGGGGGCTGCACTGTATGGGGGTCTACTGGGTATAGGGGGTTCGCGCTTTACATAAATTCTGCTTGTATAGGGGGTCTGCCCTGGTGGCGCAGGGGTCTGCGCTGTATAGGGTCTGCGCTGTATGGGGGTCTGCGCTGTATAGGGGGATCTGCGCTGTATGGGGGTGTGCGCTGTATAGGGGGGTCTGCGCTATATATGGGAGTCTGCGCTGTATATGGGGGTCTGCGCAGTATATGGGGGGTCTGCGCTGTATAGGGGGGGCTGCGCAGTATATTGGGGTGGCCTGTGTGTTAAATGTGGGGGGAAGTGTGTTAGATGGAGGGGCTGTTTGTTACATGTGGGGGGGCAGTGTATTATATTTGGGGGCTGTGCGTTAGCTGTACAGTACGTGTGGCCTGTGTGTTAGATGTGTACAACCCTAGTTTCACAGAAAAATATTTATTTCCTAGATATCATATGCCAAAGCATGCTTTTTGCTATGAAACCGCAGCCATCTAGTCACTCGCCAGAGAAGGATGAGAAACTGCACCCCAGCGAGAGGGACAGCCCCACATCTGCAACCAAATCCGTCGGTCACCGAATTCAGTAATCTCCGTCTCTTTGTGCATTGTGTATGTATGGTACTCCCAATTCTTATATTTAATCCGGTGTGTCTCCCACAATCTTTGTGTCTGTCTGCTGTATGTATGTGGCACGCAAGTCTGCATGCACTGTGTCTGTTATGCCAGTTACTCTAACCAGTTTATTTCTTTTTGTGTGTGTGTCACAGCTCTGACAAGCATGTTCTCCTATGGGACACGAAGTACATGAAGAGGAATGAAGAAGCCCATGTTTGATGCTCGTCTCCAGGGTGGACTATTGAATTTATAACTAATGAAGTGGCATCTGACACATGACAAGCTGCTCCTTTTTGCACAGCAACTTCAACATTGTGTACTGTGATCACGGCATAGTTCAGAGGTAGGTAACCTTGGGCAGTCCAGATGCTGTGAATTACATCTCCCATAATGCTGGCAAACCATATGGGAGGTGTAGTGCAAAACATCTGGAATACCGAATGCGGATGAATGCAAAGTATGGGTGTGTGAATGGTCAGTAACAAGGGTTGAAGCCTTGACGTGGCGTTACTGCTCACATGTGTATTCATGTGCCAATTCAACCAATGTGAGTCACTGTAATACTTATAAGGTAACCAAAAGTACTGTGATTGTGGAGAATGAAACACCTGTATCACCTACACACTGTTTACACTGTGACTGTATCTCCTAAACACTGCTTACACTGTGACCGTATCTCCTAAACACTGCTCACACTGTGACCGTATCTCCTAAACACTGCTGACACTGTGACCATATCTCCTAAACACTGCTGACACTGTGACCGTATCTCCTAAACACTGCTGACACTGTGACCGTATCTCCTATACACTGCTGACACTGTGACCGTATCTCCTAAACACTGCTTACACTGTAAGCACAGACATGCTTTTATTCAAAATTGAAAGCGCTCGATCATTCTTTCTATTCTACGCCTCCAATCTTCAACATTGAAATTGTCATTTCTAATAATATAAAATAAGTAATATGCTTTCTGGTTACGATTTGGTGGGTTGTAAATATTTTTTTTATTCTTACAGTTCCAGAGGGAAGGAGCAAACCGCTTTGAGGAGTCCCTGCATAAGAGACTATTGGATACTGAAGGGCTGTACTGCAGTGTCGGCTCTAGACTTGGCGAGGCCTTAGGCGAAACTCATACATGAGACCCCACGGAGAACACCATTATTGAAGAAAAAATAGCAGTTGACTTTCTGTATAAGAAGCTGTAGATATATTGATGGTGGAGCTCAGTGGTGTATCCTGGTTTTGTGCTGCCCTAGGCAGGACAAAACTCAGACGCCCCCCTCCCCCACCCCGCATTCTAAATACACACACACACACACACATACACATTCACTGACAGATATGCATACATTAGCTAACAGAAACAGACACACTCACTAACAGACACACACACACACTAACAGACACACTCACACTCTCTAACAGACACACTCAAATTTTTTTTTAAATTTACACCCCCAGCCTCCTTAACTTTGCTAATGCTGGGGGGGTTCTCTATTTCCCTGGGGTCTAGTGGGGCTTCCGGTCGGGCTGCTGGGGCGGCAGACGGGCAGCTGGCGAGGAAGCACTTCCTCTGAGTTGTCTGCTCAGCTCCCTCACGCGCTGCATTGTGAGGCTGGGAGCGGAATATGACGTCATGACTTTTCTTAACCAGTTTCCAAATTTGACTTTTATATTTTTTCCACTATACATATAAAGTCTAAAATGCATATTAACTTTGAAGAAATAAAGTATTTTGCTGACACCTTAACATGCGATTTGTGTTACTTAGCTATAAATAATACCATCACTAGCTGCGTTCCATTGTAGTTTCTCAGAAACTGCAATATTTAACATTGCAGGGTTAAGGGGACATTGGCACTGCACCCAAACCATTTAAACGAGATGACGTGGGCATTTAAAGAGCAACTTCTTTCTATGCTTATTGCTATCTTTTGAAAGTCATCACATTTATAAGCAAAACTATGCATAGACACAGTGACAAGAAGACCTATATGCACCATAAATTATCATATGTTGTTACAAAGCCATATTTCCTAACAGTCCTGGATTGTTTAGTAGAGTCCCAGTTTGGGTTTGCTCTCCACTGTCCCACAATAATTAACAAGTTAACATTATTACAGACAAATTACTGTACATTTAAAAATTAAGAGTTTTAATTTTTTTTAAAGGTGGCAATATAAAAAAGTAAAACAATATTTAAATTTCTAATTTAACAAAATTGAAAAAGTATGTTGTCCATTAATTACATAATAATTGCACATGTGACCTAATATCAGATATTGTTATTGTCACCCCCCCTTACTCTGTCACCCCCCTCTCACCCTGTCACCTCTCCCTTACTGTCACCTCACCTCATCACCCCTTGTCACCCACCTCTTACGGTCACCTCACCATCACCCCCTCACCTCATCACCCTCCCTCCCTCGCGCGCCACAGAGTGAGGCTGGTAGCCGGAACATGACGTCATATTCCGGCTCCCAGCCTCACAATGCAGCGCGTGAGGGAGCTGAGCAGACAACTTAGAGGAAGTGCTCCCTCGCCAGCTGCCCGTCTGCCGCCCCAGCAGCCCGACCGGAAGCCCCACTAGACCCCAGGGAGATAGAGAACCCCCCAGCATTAGCAAAGGTAAGGAGGCTGGGGGTGTAAATTTAAAAAAAAATTTGAGTGTGTCTGTTAGAGAGTGTGAGTGTGTCTGTTAGTGCGTGTGTGTCTGACTGTGTCTGTTAGTGAGTGTGTCTGTTTCTGTTAGCTAATGTATGCATATCTGTCAGTGAATGTGTATGTGTGTGTGTGTGTGTATTTAGAATGCGGGGTGGGGGAGGGGGGCGTCTGAGTTTTGTCCTGCCTAGGGCAGCACAAAACCAGGATACACCACTGAGCTCCACCATCAATATATCTACAGCTTCTTATACACAAAGTCAACTGCTATTTTTTCTTCAATAATGGTGTTCTCCGTGGGGTCTCATGTATGAGTTTCGCCTAAGGCCTCGCCAAGTCTAGAGCCGACACTGCAGTACAGCCCTTCAGTATCCAATAGTCTCTTATGCAGGGACTCCTCAAAGCGGTTTGCTCCTTCCCTCTGGAACTGTAAAAATAAAAAATATAGTTACAACCCACCAAATCGTAACCAGAAAGCATATTACTTATTTTATATTATTAGAAATGACAATTTCAATGTTGAAGATTGGAGGCGTAGAATAGAAAGAATGATCGAGCGCTTTCAATTTTGAATAAAAGCATGTCTGTGCTTACAGTGTAAGCAGTGTTTAGGAGATACGGTCACAGTGTCAGCAGTGTATAGGAGATACGGTCACAGTGTCAGCAGTGTTTAGGAGATACGGTCACAGTGTGAGCAGTGTTTAGGAGATACAGTCACAGTGTGAGAAGTGTATAGGAGATACGGTCACAGTGTGAGCAGTGTTTAGGAGATACGGTCACAGTGTGAGCAGTGTTTAGGAGATACGGTCACAGTGTGAGCAGTGTTTAGGAGATACGGTCACAGTGTGAGCAGTGTTTAGGAGATACGGTCACAGTGTAAGCAGTGTTTAATATAGTACCCCCTCCCCTCGGATGGCTGAGAGTGTTGGGAGCAGGGAGAGACTGACCTGTTCCCAGAAATGGCTTTACTCAGCCGATCAGAGTCCACGCATGCGCAGTATAGGGGTAGGGAGATTTCACAGTGCTTAATGGCCATCAGATTTCCCTACCCCTCTACTGCGCATGCGCGGGTGTGAAGCGCTCCATGTTGCCAAGTGCGCACGTGCGCTGTACCTCCGACGGGAGTACTGTGCCGCGCGT